CCGCAATAACCCGGCCGCATTCAGCGGCCGACTTCAACTAGCCCAGCCGGCATCAGGCGTCGGCCGACCCACAGAATTTAAAAAATAAAAATAAAAAAATTATTGAAAACGTAAAAAAAAAAGTACACCTGAATGAATACTTACTTGCATGTGCGTGAGAGTTTGTCCTAATTTTTTTTTTTTTTTAAATTTTTCGAAGGTTGGACGTGAGAGAGAGAGTGTAGAGAGAAGAAAGAGAATTTTTTTAACTAAAGAGGGCAAAATAATATTTTAGGGGCGGTAACTAGTAATAGGGAGTGGTCAATAGCAACACCCTTTTACTACCTTCGACTCCTCTTGGTCGTTTGTACCCTTTCATCTACCTCTATATATCTATATGGATAATGTTCCCCTACTCACGGTGGGCACATGTTAATATGCCCACCAGTTATGTGGCATGCACACATTGGTGATGTTAATATGTTAAAATACTACATCACCAATATGTGCATGCCACATAAGCGGTAAGTATATTAACATGTGTCCACTGTGGATAGGTGAGCATTACTGATATCTATATATAAAGTGAATAATTATTTACTAGAAATAGTAAGCAAAAAATTCTACCAAAATTAATTGCATGCTATTTTGAGAATTATTTTTTAAAATAAATGAAATTTCTAATTTTAATTTGATAACAACTTTTTGCGTACAAAATACAATTTTAGCTCTGAAAGTTGCTTATATATCGGTCTGTGTTCGTACAAAATCCCATTTATATTGTAACAATTTTTTTATTTTTTTTTTTCTAAATTTGTTTCCATGTAGACAATTTATTTCAAATCTTCCAAATCTTTTTGTATTTAGCGTACAAAATTCTTATACACCTTACAACTTTTTATAAAAATATTTTGGTATGTTTGTATACCATAATCTATATCTCAATATTTATTTTAGGCAAAATTGCATTTTTAGTCATGCTGGTTTAACGCTGTAGCATTTTTACTCTCAAGATTTCAACTTTTTGTCTTTTGATCCTGTAATTTAGTATTTTGCTGCAATTTCAGACCTTCGGGACTGAAATTGCAATAAAATTTAAAATTACAGGACTTAAATTACCAATCAAAAATTCATCAAAAAGATTTTTTATTAGCAATTTAAGTCATGTGATTTTAAAATTTGTTGTATTTTCAGTCCCAAAGGACAAAAATTGCATTGAATTTTAAAACTATAGGACCAAATAGCAAAAATTACAATTCCTAGGACTAAAAATGCCACTGGATCAAACCAACATGACTAAAATTGTAATTTTTCCATTTATTTTATATGTTCTATAAATTTCCTATAATAAAATTCGCAATGTCTAATTAGTTAAGAATATTATAATTTAGATACATTTAAACAGATGTTTAAATTAATATCTCAGTATATACATTTTAAATATTATTTAAATATAAATCTATACTTATATAATAAGTTATCTTATTTACCAAAATTAGTAGGTAGAAAAGTCAAATGACAATTAATGCATGTTATATTCATCAATAGTTTTATTTAACTGAATCGTTAAAATACCGCACCCAAATTCATTATACCGCACCCAAAAAAGACCATAATACCCTTACTAATTAAAAAAA